CAAAACCCTGTGGTTATTAAACACCACCAACAGAAAGTTCTATCTGTCTCAAATGGTATAAAACTCATTGAGCTTGTGTTGCATAACAGAGTAATTGTCAGTCACACTATCACTGTGCTGAAACTGGTCTGGTAATAAAGCGGTATTACGGGATGCCACTCAAGTGGCTAAAGTGTTACTAAACCCACAAGAGTAAAATTGGTCTGTATATGCAGTAAAGCTTGCTTGTTATACTCACTGTGGAATCTAAGGGGTTAATCATCCGCATTGTGTAAAAATACTGTTTGATCCTGTTTTCTCTGATCCTCCTCTTCTTACACAGTTCCCAATCCATCTGTTGATAGTACAGAGTAGGAGTCACTCTGCAAATGTTTATTTTGATGTGTATTGCTAGAAAGTGTTTTTTTTTTTTTTTTTTGGGGGGGGGGGTGCATGTGATTAGCACAGGGCCAATTAGCACTGTCTGACTGTCCTATGAGGCTACATGACCCCTGAGCCTCTGTCTCAGAGGCAGGGGCGGACTGACAACTCATGAGGCCCCGGGCAATAGGGGATCATGGGGCCCCTGTGTCCTTGCCAAAACTCAAAAAAGCCTATGAAAAAGGTACCAGGGGCATCTCATGGGGCCCCCTAGTGACCCCGGGCCCTCGGGCAGTGCCCGAGTTTCCAAATGGTCAGTCCGCCCCTGGTCAGAGGAGAATGAAAACTCCTCCTACAAGACTAACCAGTGCTCTGCTGGACATTGATAGAAGTCACAAGACTGCTATATACTGCTGATGAGAAAAGGTATTTAGCAGTTTATATTTACTATAATAATTGCATTTCCATGTTGTGTGTACTGTAGGAGACCAGATATAGTGAATGCAGGGTCCAGGGTTTAGTAACACTTTAAAGAAGATCACTAAATGTATAATTTGCTTCTGGTAGTTTTAAATATGATTAAAAATATACTTCAATTTCCAAAACTTTTTTCAAAAAAGTCTGTTTAGCTTGGACCACTTTCAGCTACAGGATCACTAAATTCCAAGCAGCATGGTCTCTTTGTATTTTCCAAGCTGCAGTAGTATCTAGCTTCCAAGTCGATTTCCTGAAGACAATTAACAGCTTGCTACAAACAGTTGATTAGAGATACATTATAGTTAATGGGAATCTACTGAGCATTAGTGGCAAAGTTTTTTCCATGTCTGGCAGTTCAGCAGTTAGTATGCAGGCCATAGATGGGGAGAAAAAACGGCAGATTTTTTCTTTTAAAAAAGTAAAATTCGGTCGTATCTAAGCGGCCGACGTTACCATCAATGGTAAAAAAAATCGGCCGATTTTAGAGGAGTTTCTACAGCTGGCAAAAAAGTGTCCCTGCAGAAAGAGCTCCGCTATTTCTGACAGTTCCTTCACATTTACAGCGGTTGAAACATTGTATCTATTTGTTTCCCATTTAGGATACAGATGTTTTTAATTCGGAAACAAATAGATACAATGTTTCAACCGCTGTAAATTGTCAAACGAACTGTGGTCAGAGAACTGTCAGAAATAGCAGAGCTCTCTGCAGAGATACTTTTTTGCTGGACTCGAATTCTTCTTATTTTCATCCTACTTCTTCTTCTTCATCCTCATCCTCTCTTCTCTTCTTCTTCTTCTTCATCCTCATCCTCTTCTTCTTCTTCATCCTCATCCTCTTCTTCTTCATCCTCTTCTTCATCCTCATCCTCTTCTTCTCTTCTTCTTCTTTCCTCATCCTCTTCTTCTTCTTCCTCATCCTCATCCTCTTCTTCTTCATCATCCTCATCCTCTTCTTCTTCATCATCCTCCTCCTCCTCATCCTCTTCATCCTCCTCCTCCTCCTCCTCCTCTCTATCCTCCTCCTTCCTCATCCTCCTCCTCCTCCTCCTCCTCTTCATCCTCCTCCTCCTCCTCCTCTTCTTCTTCTTCTTCTTCTTCTTCTTCTTCTTCATCCTCCTCCTCCTCCTCCTCCTCCTCTTCTTCCTCATCCTCATCCTCTTCTTCTTCTTCTTCTTCTTCCTCATCCCTCATCTTCTTCTTCATCATCCTCTTCTTCATCATCCTCATCTTCTTCTTCTTCCTCATCCTCTTCTTCTTCATCATCATCATCCTCATCCTCATCTTCATCTTCATCATCATCCTCATCCTCCTCTCTTCTTCTTCTTCATCAGCATCATCCTCATCCTCTTCTTCTTCATCCTCTTCTTTCTTCTTCATCCTCATCCTCTTCTTCTTCTTCATCATCCTCATCCTCTCTTCTTCTTCTTCTTCTTCTTCTTCTTCTTCATCCTCATCCTCTTCTTCTTCATCCTCTTCTTCTTCCTCTTCTTCTTCTTCATCCTCTTCTTCATCCTCTTCCTCTTCTTTTTTTTCTTCTTTTTGTCTTCCTCTTGCAGGTCACTGCTCATGCGCAGATTTTTTATCGGTAAAAAAAAATCGGCCGATTTGCCCACTAATTGCTGCGAAAAATCGGCCGATCGGCAAAATCGGTCGATTTTTTTTCCAAACTTTACCGAAAAAAAAAAACGGCCAAAATAACCGAAAAGCCGGCCGACCAAATCGCCCACTAACGATCCCGAAAATCGGCCGATTTTATTTTCGGCCGAAAAATCGGCCGATTTTCGACCCATCTATGGCCTGCATTAGTCCTCATGCACACTGGACATTTTTACAGTGGCTGTTTTTGGCTTTTGACATTTTTTTCTATAGCCAGTAAACCCCCCAGCATGTTATCCTATGTGTCCATACACACATAGACGGTAATCAACGTTTTTTTGGCTGGAAAAAAAACCCCAGGACTAGTGGGTTTTCTAGAGGAGTTTTATAGCTGTAAAAATGTTCTAATGCTGAAAAATGCGGTAAATTGCGTTTTTGGACTTTTTTTGACCGGAAAAAATTTTGCTCCAAAAGACTCTAAAAAATGCAAACTCGAAAAAAACGCAGCATAACTCCACTAAACGCTAATACAAAAATGCTAAAAGCTGAAAAACTTGCATTTTTAACGTGACCTTTCACAGCTAAACATTAAAAAAAAAACGCCCCCTGTGCATGGAGCCTTAGAAATAACTTTATTGTATTCATTACTCAACGCTACAACCTGTGGTGGAACAAGGAAAAAAAGGCAAGCTTTGAAATACCGCAGCTGTACTGCAACTGTTCAGTTTAGATTCAGACAGTAGTAGATATTTAACAGAATACAGAAATATACAAGATCTGTCAAGTGCTAAAAACAGCCATTAAAAATATATTAGGACAGACAGTTTTGGATACTGGTTTAGGATATCTTGATAAGGTCCTTTGAAGTTAATTTTAAAAGACAAGCTCACTTTTAGTGATTCATTCCTATGGGTGAGTCAAATTTCAATGGAAGGCTAGAATACAGCTCACCCATAGGAGTGAACAGGACCTTGGATATGCTTTTTAAAGAGCAGTCTGCAGGGACAGCTTTCCTGGAAAGGCAGTACAATAAAGATCCCTGGAATGGGGAGGAAGGCAAGTATTCACCATGGTAGGCTGCACTCAGGGAGTTAACTTTAAGGACACATTTACTAAAAGTGAATTTGTTCTTTAGGTCTCCTTCATTATATCAGAATCTTTGGTACAGTAACCATTCTAGAAGCGGTTCACAGTAGTTCATTCGTATATAAAGTCAGCAGTAACCACTGTATCTTGTGTCGTGATACTGAGAAATGTTCTAGTGATTAATGGTTGTACTGGGAACAAGGGAAATGGGTAGGCCACAAGTATTTTCTTCACTTCATACCAGAAGGACTTTCATTTGTCTCCAGAAACTTAGTATATTGTAGGTCAGGCCTGAGGACATCTTCCCTAAATCCAGAAGCCAGCGACATAGTAACGAATTTAAACAAATCCAAAATAACGAAACAAAATTATGTCCGAAGTTCAAATAGAATTCGATTTCAAAAACAAGAATAGAATAAAATAGAATAGTAAATAAAGGAATAAAATAGAAAATAATAGAGTAAACAGAATAGAAAAGAAAAGTATAACATAGAATAGAAAATAAAGGAATAGAATGGAAAAAATTATAATAGATTAGAATATAAAAGAATATAATAGATTAGAATAGAAAAGAATAGTCAAACAGAACAACATTTAATAGAAAATAAAAGAATAGAATAGAAAATAATAGAATAGAAAAAAATAGAATAGAGTAAAATATAACAAAATAAGACAAAAGAATAGAAAATAAAAGAAAAGAATAGGAAAGGAAAAGAATATAATAGAAAATAAAAGAATAGAATAGAAAATAAAGGAATAGATTGGAAAAGAATAGAATAACATAGAATAGAAAAGAATAGAGTAAAACAGAACAAAATATAATAGAAAATAAAAGAATAGAATAGAAAATAAAGAAATAGAAAATAATAGAATAAACCAGAATAGAATAGAAAATAAAAGAATAGAACAGAGTAAAACAGAACAGAATAAAATAGAAAATAAAATAATAGAATAGAAAATAAAGGAATAGAATAGAAAAAAAGGAATAGAAAATAAAGGATTAGGATAGAAAATAATAGAATAGAAAATAAAAGAATAGAATAGAGTAAAATAGAACAGTATAGAATTGAAATTGAATTGAATATCTGGTTCCTCCAGAGGTTGCTAGGGGTTCCTTGAGAAATTAGCAATTTTTGCCTCTCAAGTAAGTTCCATGGGACGCTAGGGTTCCTCCAGAGGTTGCTAGGGGTTCCTTGAGAAATTAGCTATTTTTGCCTCTCAGGTAAGTTCCCATTGACACCATTGATCTTTTTAGCAATCTGTAAGGGGGTAATTCTTGCCAATGACAACAAGTGTAAGGAGCATTCTTACCTCTGACTATCACATTAATGTATCATGAATTGTAGATAAAGCCATTTTTATCAGGGGTTCCCTGAGTCTGGAAAGTTACGTCAAGGGTTCCTCTGCATTGAAAAGGTTGAGAAAGGCTGATCTAGACTGTACTATATAACTTCATTTTTTGGTTTTCCTTTCTGTAGAAAATGGAGATGCCACAAACAAGCCAGAAACAAACAGCAAAGCCAGAAAAGAAAGAACAGCTTTTACCAAAGAGCAACTCCGAGAACTAGAGGCTGAATTTGCTCATCATAATTACCTTACCCGACTAAGGCGATATGAGATAGCTGTAAACCTTGACCTCACTGAAAGACAGGTATGTTCAGTCTGATACATGAATGTCAGACTTAATTTATTACACAGTGTACCATGGCAAGAAATTGGAATCTTTCTGTCAATGATCTGAGCATAGTGGATGTCATTTGACTGATTATTGAAACAGTATTGAAGGCTAAAACTAACAAATCCTAAAACTGTCCCCTCCCACCTCCTAACACCTATGCTGACTAACTGGTGTAAAAAAGATGTATATACTTAGCTATCTTCAGCTCGCTCCAGTCTTGTCAGCTGATCTCCTGTGGCAGCTGCAGGGGAGAGGAGAGAATGCTTGACAGTGGCTAGGGATGCCTGGGAGAAGTGATGTCACCATTATGCTCTCAGAAGTTGTCATGGCTTCCTCCTCTCTCCTGAAGATGCCGCTGGTTGACACAGGGGATCAGGCGACCTGACTGGAGAGGCTGAAGATAGCTAAGTATATACTTTTTTTTTTACATCAGTTAATGTAGCACTACCTCCTTAGGAGTCGCTAGAAGATTTGGGTGCCCCTATTGTCCTGCTCAGCCAGGCATCACACATCTTCGCCAAGACTTGAATCCAGAGTCAGAAATCAGTCTTTGAGCTGTGGTTCTGTTGTTTTATTTAGGGAATTTGAACTGGGATAGGGTTAGGGGTGTACAGGATGCCCAAAGGTACTGATAAACTGAGGACAACTTCCTGGAACTATTTACAAACCTTCTCTGCAGCACAGTCTCTGTTGGAAAGCTAGACAGTATCTCCTTAATGTACCACCCAAGACCCTAGATGAACTTCTACTCTTCACCCAGCAGTCTGGAGGTATCCCTGAACAGGTGATCTGGTTCTTACTGTTTTCAACCAGAGTTGTCCTTCCCCTTTTTGCCCAGGGGGTGTAGGTGTACTCACTCAGATCCTCTCCTGTACTGTTTTTGGGTTGGTGGTTGCTACCGGCTGGGCCGCTTCTTCCCTGCCATACAGGTGGTTCTCTCTCAGAGGGCCGGTGAGCTCTGAACTTTTTTCCTTTCCAGCTCTAGGCCTGCAGGTAATCCCATCCCACTGGACCTCCTCACAGCCTCCTTCGTTCAGCCTCACATCTTCCTCTCTGCTCTGTCTTCCACCTGAACTCTCCTGCCACTAAGCAGGCTCCAACACTTTTAGGGGGGGTCCAGCCCCTTTCCAACCTCTTCTTGGGGATTGGCTAGGATCCCTCAAGTGCAAGCCTGCTACTGCTCAGATGCCCTGCCTCTAGGGCCTTTCTCCAAAGCCTTAGAGCAGGGGGGAAATTCCAGAGGGGCTGGCCTGCAGAGCCTCTCACCAAAATGTGACCCCTCTCTGACTATTACACCCAGGCTGCTCCTCAACCTTCCTTACTGACAATTAAGACTCCAGCTCCCCCTAGCTAAACTAGGAGGGTGCTACATTAGCATAGGTGTTAGGAGAGGTTAGAGAGCATTTTTAAGACTAGATAGGTTTAGGCTGGAATTCTACTTTAAGGCTCATTACATTTTACTTATAGTTACTAACTTATCAGTTACAGATTAAAACACTGTTGAGTGCTATTTAATACTTTGTTTCCAGGCAGCACTTGCTTATACATGACCAGTTACTGTACTTTTGCTCAGGTTTCTGGGTGCTTGCATAGCAACAGCTGAAGGGGTAGAGTTACTTTAGGTGTTGTCTGTACCATCCAATCAAGTGTTAGCATGATCTTCAAATCCAATGTATATAATGTGCTTTAGCAGGCAAAGCCAGTACTCTGTTAGCTTTGAAAAAATCAATCCTATTACCATCCCCACTTAGTAACTAGCATAGATGTGCACACATACACTTCGGTGGTACTGGCCTTTGCACCCCGAAAGGGAAAAAATTGTCAAGGTATCTGAGGGTTCTGATTGGTTCAGGCTGGAGTGTGTAATGATTATTTTCCACAGGCGTCCTAGTGCTGGGTGAATACTAGAGGGTTGGATCAGGTGCCAGCTACATGTATCTCCTCAGGAACTTAGCAGTAAGATCCTAACACTAGAGATCTAAGCTCTGGATTACAAAGGATTTTATAACTGTAAGCCTGATTTTTGTAGCCAAAATTCATATAAATCTGTCAGATGGTTCTGAGGGTTCATAGCCTTTAAGACTCAATCTGGAGAGCATCTGCTAAGCATTTTTCTTGACTGTTAACCTCAGTGTTTAAATCAAACCAGTGATACATCTACCGTATGAAAGTGCATATACCATATGATACCTTTATTCTTAAATTTTTTCAAACTGGTTTATAAATTTGCGCAAGCAACATTTTTCCTGTGTTTGGATAAAAGAATATTAGCTACTGTATGAAATTACTTGTGAAATCTACAATCCTGCATTTGTCATGCTTTCTAGGTCTCATGCACAGTGTACATTTTTACAGTTCCTTCTAAGGGCGTCTGGCGTTTTTTTTTTTCCTGCATGTTAGCCTATGTGTCTGTGCACACATAGACTTTAATCCCTGGGTTAAATCTGGTGCAACTTGTCATGCGATTTGACAATCGCCTCTCAGTTGTAATATGGCACATCAGTCAACACACCCACAGATGCCCTAATGCATCTACAGAAAAATGCTATCTAAATAGAACTTCTGTCTCTATTTCAAGATATATAGTAAGAAACATGCATCATTATTGGATGTTGGATTTTGCCTTCCCATAACATTGGTCCATCTGTATTTGACTGGATGTACTACCCTTTCCACTCCTATGATAGGTGGAGGTGTACTAAGATATGACTGGTTCAGATGTCACCCACTCCTTTGGGTTTTTGACTGGAGCCACATTTGTTGTTGGAAGGATTGGTGATCCATTTCTATCTCTTCCTGTCAAAGGTCTTTGTTGTATGCCTCCCCAAAGCCTAGATGGAAGTGACCACACCTTGGTATATCCTATTCTGCTGTTAGATGTTCTGAATTTCGGTCACACTTGAGTTTAATAGTGTGAAGAAGCAGTTGCTACCATCTTTGAACATAAACAACAAGTGTAACTATATTGTGACTAGTCTATTCTTTTTATTGGACGAATTGTGTTCTTAATATATGTTCAATAAAAATTGTTAGTAAACTATCTATCATGCTTATGGAGTTGGTCAATATATACATATATATTATTTATTTTATATATATATATGTGTATATACAGTACACACACCACACATCGGCAGGTCACCCTTGCACACCTCTATTTTTTTCTTGTGTGTTCTTATTGTTATTTTTTGGGGTGGTGACCCCCCCAAAGTAATTATATACATTGTTACACCTCATTGCTGTATGGACAGCCTCACCTTATAGTTAAATACCTGAAGTATTCTAACAGTAATTAACAGAAATGAACTACATTTACCTAGCAACAGTATATAAAGACAGTCCTAACTTGTTATAACAGGCCCCATTTTGTCCCACTTTTCCTGTGAATGATGAATAAAAAAAAGTTGGCTGGCAAAGTCGAGGTCTTTCACTAACACACAACAGTTTCCCAGCAGACAACAGTTTGACTTGTATGATGGTAATCTCTTACCAGTCCTAGGGCTCTGATACAGTAAATGTTCAGTTCAAGTCAGACAAGGATAGAAGTTGCTGTGATTTCTCTCTTTCAATTACTTTAAAAACAGTCTCTCTTTTTCTTCCTTATAAGTGGTGGGAGTACTCTCTGGTACAGCCTGATCCCACCAGGTTTCCAAATCTCATCCTCCCCGGTGAATGTTCTCAGTCTATTTGCCTCTCTGAGTTCTCAACGCATTGTGGTCAAATATGGATTAGTTCATCCAGCATCAGCTCAGTCTCTTTCCCATACACCTGCTTGCTTCCAGACCATCCCATCACATTGCACATAGCATTGCACAGAGTATGATGGAAGCAACAGTCTCTGATCAGCCCCCTTCCCGAGCAGCATAGCAACAGCAAACTCTGGCCACACACCACTGTCCCCTCTTCACTGTGAACCTGTTGTGCTGTCTCTCAGCTGCTCAGCACAGAAAAATTATTATTATACAGATTTATATTATTAGCAAAATGGATGCAGCAGCATATGGTCCCCACAGTGGATTCCTCCCTACATCCTGCAGGCTGGTGGCACAGCAAAGCTCCCTTTCTCAGCCCAGTTCACTATCCATTTTGCATCAACCATACACCTGCCCTCAGACCCAGCCAAAAAGCCTGCACTGGAGATGCTCCACAGATGGACTTTGCAAAGTGGTCTCCTCAAAGATTACTGCTGCACTTCTGCATTAATGAATATTCAGTTTAACCTTATCCACACTGCAGAAGGATAATGCAGCAGCAACAAAGGAAGAAGTTTCACAACAGTTATCAGCTGTAGTTCAAGTTACGTAGTTATACTGTGTGAATGAGAACACAAATTTGCTGCAAAATTGGAAATGCATTTGAAAGTGTAGGCTAGTATTGCTGAACTTATTCATATAAATTATCTGCCTATGTTAGAGCCAAGTCTTAATCGTAAAACTAATGGTGTAACCTTTTCCAATCTCAAATTTTCATCATACTGATCTGAATTATAACTATTAACAGAATAGTTGTATGAAGAGCAGGTAACTAATATTGTGCTTATGTTTTTGTTTTTTATGGCCAGACGGGTCAAGGATGCAGTTGATTAGCTCCTGACTTACTGATTGCAACATCTACTTTTCAAAATTCACCATACTACATGTTCACATACATTTTTTACCAAGTGCCTTGACTTGTCAAGAAATGTGTTCAATAAAGATGAATTTACTTTACTTCTGCTTACAGGTTAAAGTTTGGTTTCAAAACCGAAGAATGAAATGGAAGCGTGTCAAAGGTGGACAGCCGGTATCGCCAAATGAACAAGATGCAGATGATTTGGACTCTACAGCATCTCCCAGTTCTGAATAACTTAATTTTTACTGTGGTTGGCAAACTTTCTTGTCTATTTTTCTA